GATACTCTCATATGGGTAGCATCTAGCCTAGAATCTGTCTTTGGTTCCTGTGATCCTGGTCTAATGATTTTTGTGTATCCTGTCCTAGTATCCTGTTCTGCACCACCTACCTTGCCTGGAGTTGTCTCACGTCCCACCATTCAAGGATCCTCTGGCCTCCTTTCTCCACACCTGCCTACCTGCCCACGCTCAGAACCACCTCACCCGTTCCAGCCTCTCCCAGTTCGCCTCCGCTCAAATCCTGGTTTTGGACCGTGAGAACTTTCAGATACGGATTCATAATCTCCTGGTTCTCTGGTTCTGGCCTCGCTCACCTTTTTTTTGTCTTCATAGATTCCGGTTCCATCCTGTTCCTGTTTTCAGAAGCAGCGCCCTTAGTTCTAGTTTTTCTTTTCTCCTTTAAAATCAAACACTTGTATTTTTACTTACCTCTTCTCGTGTGATTCTTCATGTCCTGGGTGAAGCACATTACCCATAACATGACAATAACTATAAAGTCGTTGAGTCTTCACTTATTCAGAGTGAAGAATGTTGACGCCTGGCGTTCACACAGTGAGCGCAAGAACCTTAGGTGAGAATGTTTGTTTGAATGTTTTGTCTTCACGGAATGTCAACACGCGCTGAGCAGAACCTTCTGGGTTTAGAAGGTCACATAGAAAGTGGATTTATGCTGTAGATGAAAGGTTCTTATGTTGATCAATACACAGGTGAAAATGGACCCTTTTGGTACGTTACATACAGAAGAGCAGGTCTCTTGCTTCATCAACCTAATTAATTAATTACACGTCTGTCAGCTCTACCAAGAATTATCACGACTCATTTGTTCTTTCAGGGAGTTTCGACTTGGAGAACTGAAATGATGCCTTATAACGTTAATTATCAAAGACACAGACATGCAGGAATGTTATTCTGTTGCTTAAAACAAACCATGACATGACAGAGTGTTATCGTAACATCCTCTGATGTTTATGTGTTACCATGGCAACAAACAGAACAGTATCTAATACACTGATGCGTAATCACTGCGCTGCGAGATGAAGCAGCTCCAGCGCCTCACATGAAGACTGTATAAGCACTCTCTGATGCTCTGGGTCTCACATCCAGACTCGCTAAAGCCAACCCACACTCCCAGCATCCTTAAGGAGGAATCTCCATGACAACCCCTGCTCTTCCTGAAGAAGAGGTGACTGTATAGTTTAAATAGCAGCATTAAACCACAATAATTCAGCCTCTCGTCTTTGTTTTAACAGGCTTATCTGGCTGTGCTGCAGCCAGAGAAACTCTCCGTGCAAATCGAATCAGGAACTCCTGAGTTTTCACAGGCTGCTGGATTACACATGTGAGTGGCACCATCATTACGTTGCTTACACCTTTACATCAGTCGCTTTACGGGAAGTGTTTGTTAAAGCACTTCAGGCTCAGTGCTCATGTTCCTCCTGATGTCAGCTGTATCCTCACCAGCTGTCTGCCTCGCCTACCAGGAAACTCTCTGATGTTAATGATGCTCCTCTACAAAAGATCTTTATAAAGATGCTTATGCTAAAGTTTGATTTCACTGATCTCTATTTGAGTCATTCCTGCAGAACAAGCCTCTCTACCTCTTTGTGGCTCCATAGATCAGATAATAATGTGTCCATTTGATCTTCATGCTGTCTAGTACTGACATCCAATAGCCTGGTGCTGATGTTCAAGCAGGTTCAAAGCTGAAGCTCAAAGGTGCTGCATTTATTCCCAGCAAATGCGATTATATTCCCATCAAACCTTCTACATGCAGGAATTAGGATTTAGATTCGGTGAGCATATTGTGTTAAGGACAAAACTAAACTAGATGGTGTTTGTTGGAAAGTGAGACTAATGTAATTTAAATGTAATCAGCTGAGATTGCATTTCATAACTGATGATGATATGTCAGCATCACTATTTATCATTGCTGTGACTGAACGTGAAAGAACAGAGCCAGAACACAGACAGCTGATTGGATAGATGCTGATGAGTTATCCAATAAGGGGGTTTTCTGCTTCATAAATAAGTTAAATAAATAAATTAAGTAAATAAATACCGCCATCCTTTTCTAACACCTCCAGGCTTCTGAAATGCTGAAAACAGAATAACACAATTGATCAAAGAGTTCTTCCTTTCCTCCCTTCAGTTGGTTTTGGTGCTCTCACTGGAAATTTCCGTATGCACTTAAAAAATATATCAAACAACAAACTTCCTCCCCAAATAATCTGGAATCGATTTGGAATTAGTCTGATTCAAAGTGTGTTTTCAGGATTTTGCATCACTCCAATGGTGATGGGCTACACATGCTTGAACAGTACACATAAACCCAAAGGGAGACTGGGCAGGTTTGGCTTGCTTTAGCACCCCCTAGTGTCCGTTTGTAGAACCAAAATCAAAATGTATCTTCTCGCTGTGCATTCGTCTTTTTAACATCTTAATCTAATGGCAGAACTGTCTCCCCAGCTTTTAGTAGGTTCTACAGAAGTGATTCATCCCTAAACTAAACAAATCAGCTGTGTTCATGATCTAAAACAAGCAGGAAATGAGCTGGAAGCAGACTGCTGCGCCAGGTATGTTTTTTTCCCATATGGTTTGGTTGTTTGGGTGATTTGTACTATTTGTTTGTTTTAATGTGGTTTTGTTTTACATTTGGTATAGTAATACTAAGTATAAGTAAAGAATGATATATATAAATGGGGTAAGGACATATAAGTTTCGACTTCAGCCTACTTCTTTTCAGACAGAGAAGAAGAAAAAAAAGGTACGTCAGCTCAATGGTTTTTAAAGCCTGATTTATGCTTCTCCGTCTGCGTCAGTGCGGAGACATGCAACGTCCTTGCGGGCCTGCGGGAGTCGAGCTCTCTTTTCTAAACATCCGTCAGTCGAGACGGACAACGCAAGCTTGTGATTGGTCAGGACGCCGCTGTCGTCTACAGCGCCACCATTGCACCCTCAAAAACATAAAGAGAGCCGAGGATAACTAGCGGCAGACACGGAGCAGCTTGAAGAACACCTCGCGAAAAAACTCTAAAAACATGAATGTTTAATTCCCCCGTGACTGAAGGAGTGAAAAGATGCACAGCAAGCATTTTATTGGTGGACGGAAATGACAGGAAACGTGGGTTTGGAGGTGACGAGCGCATGAAGAGGTGGAGGAGGATGAGAGACAAATTTGTCTGTGATAAAAAGTCTCTTATATACAACCCCCCCCCCCCCCCCCCCCCCAAAAAAAAAAACAGCATAAACACACTATCTTGGACCGGATACATGACAGGATACCACAGAACAGCGCTATGCCCTCTGTTGTCCTGCCAGGGAATTGCTTTGCAACACTCTCCAGGAGACGGAGAAGTATGAGAGCAAAACACTTCCGTCAATCCGTGCGTGTCTGTCCCTTGCGGAGCTGATGGAGAAGCATGAATCAGGCTTAAGTCCCAACAGAGCGTTGTGCCACTCTGAAGTTGCAAGTAGAATATTCTGACCACAGGGGGCGATAAGGGCTGGGTGGCATTTCATTAACCATGGAAAGGGTCATTTTAGCACATTCTGGCTCAAGAACAAGATTTAAAATTTAAAAAAGTCGCATAATATCCCTTTAAAAGGATAATTTCACTTCCCTGGCTCACAAACATCCCATGTTACTGTGCTAAAACATGCTAGAGTTTAAAGCTCTTCATAAGAATTCTTTCCAAACCTTAAAAAAAACACCTTAAATTTTTACTTCTATAGGCACCAATAAGAGCAATGTCAGAGAGAGGCTGGTGGCCAAGCTGCAAATAAAATCTGGGAAATTTACTAAATAGTTGAGACAGCTCTGTGTCACATGTCATCCAGCCATAAAGAATCCCTTCATGGTCAGTTCATCAACAGTAAATGTGTTGAAGAAGATGATGCAGATTTTTTTTAAACAACTATGTGTGAGATGTGCCACAAAACCATAATTTATATTCATTTAGAAAGATCAAAGTAGAAAATGATTTAGCATCTGCAACAAGTCATCAACAGTCACAGCCCAATGAGATGCTGGCTTAAGGGTTCTTCACTCTTTACAATAAGACTCAGAGAACTAGAGAAAGCATGTAGCTACGAGATTCCCCAGAGCTCAGGTCTCACGAACATCTGGGACAACCCGTTCAGATATCGATATCGGATGTAATTCAAAATCGGCCCCAAAACGGTATTGGATTATATCGGAGGGCGTCAAAAATCTTCAAAATAAGCGGTCCGTTAAGGTTCACATTTTTGCAACCAATGGTTAAGAAAAAATTGTCATTTTTTTTTCATACTTGCTGTTATTGGCTCTTGTTCTCCAATTGAGTTATATCACTTGATCAAGCCTTTCATACATTCCACGCTACGAAATAGGTACAAATATGCATGATTTGTGCTGATATCGTATCGGATTGATATCGGTATCGGTCAGTACTGAAGGCTGCAATATCTGTATCGTATCGGATTGATATCGGTATCGGTCAGTACTGAAGGCTGCAATATCTGTATCGTATCGGAAGTGAAAAAGTTGTATCAGGACATCCCTAATCTGAGGTGACATTTAACACTAATCACAAAGCTTAGACCATCCAAACACTTTATGCGAGTTTAGTCGGCAAACAATAGTCTGGAACAGCAAAAATCCTAAAAACCAGAAGAGTTTCTCAGATAATTTCCCAACAATATGAAGATTTGTAGCTGTTAATTAGTTGAAATAATAATCAATCTTCTGTAAATCTACTATATTCTACTATTAAGTGATTGAAAATCTATGAAACTGCCCCATGATTTGACACTTTTTGGGTAAATTTTTGTTTAAAGGATGGTTATGTAATAAAAAAAACCCGAATTTAACATAAAACCTCTAAATCTGATGTCAAAAGGTATAATTAGGGCTGTAATAAAAATATAATTAAGGAACAATAAAGTAATTTGCTCTCACTGCCCACCTGTCAACAACAAATTTCTTAGTGCTGCAGAGGTAAGTGTGTTAGTGTGTGTGTTACCTTGACAGGAGAGATATGCGTGTGTGGCGTGTAGCCATGAATGGCCTCCATGGCAGCGAGGTTCTTGTCACTCATGTGAAGCATCTCTGCACTTTTCCCTGGAGCCAGATGTGCTGGGCTGTGCTCCAAGGGGGGCGTCTCCTCATCCTGGTACCTGTACTTCTACACACACACACACACACACACACACACACACACACACACACACACACACACACACACACACACACACACACACACACACACACACACACACACACACACACAGATGAGTTCACTTAGTCTCTGGTTAATGAGGGCAGCGGTTTGATGACATCAGCTGATAAAGAGCTAACAGAGCAGCTTTGTTTTTGTGCTTTTACTGGTTTTTGACTGATTCCAGAAAAAATGAGGCACGCTGGGAGAGGACCGATAAATCCACTGATGACCAGGATTGTCTGGTTTTCAGATTTACCTGATGAGCTGCTCTGAATCTCAAATATCCTTTTTAGGGGTCCATGAATGCACCGTGGCTAAACCGCAATAAAAGTAGGAATTTGAGCCGGACCTGACAGAAATCTGCAGATCGGAGCTTCACAAATAAGTGAAATTGGTGCATTGGAACAATGTCTCTAAATGTACATCTTGCATTTCACATGTGTGACGCCTACATGCTCAGACATTGTGGAGACGCAGCTCGTTGCATTTCTAAACTTATCGTCCCCCACAGCCACATGGAGAAGCCAGAGCCGTGATTCATGGTTGATTCTTATAGAGCGGCTCACGCTGCTCCTTTCTAGTAACCTCACTCCCCTACCAGTCTCCCACACCTGGGCACACCGCCAGCAGCCCACTGTTTCAGCCACACACGGTAGGCTTCATTCTAGGCGTGATGACACCAAATCTGCATGCAGCCTTTTCCGTCACAAACACATGAGAAGATGGGCAGCATTGTGCCGGAGCTCTGCCACACTGTCCTGTGCCTTGGAGCTTGTGTTTTCCACAAATCTGCGCCCCCTCCCCCCAAAGTCTGCCAGGCTCACAACAATCTGCTGCACTGCAGATGTGAAGCAACCCGCTATTGGTATTGAGAAATTCAAATGCATCCTCTGGATTTTGACTGGTTTCCTATCTCACTCTTGTGTTCCTTTTGTTTTGGGAGGGTGGCACCTCCCCACCTCACCCCACCCCCTTTTGGACAGGCTGCCTAGCAACCGGAGCCGAGCAGAGATCGCAGAGCCACAGTCGGGCCTGGCAGCATCGGTTCTGGATCACATTACACAGAGACAGCAAGAAAAGGTGGGAGTGTGACAGAGATAAAGATAGAGGAGAAAGTGTGTGTGTGTGTGTGGGGGGGGGGGGGGGTAAAGGAAGACATGAGACCATCAATAAAGACAAATGGGAAACAGCAGAAAGGGACAAAAAGAGAAGAATAACTGTTGAACAAACTGAAGGGTATTATTCTTCACTAAACTGCAGAATCAGTTCTCACCAACACACGTTATGTAACCATAACCTGCTCCTGCAAAGAGTAATTCTCCTGAATTAATAATCCTAATCCAAATTAATTCTGCTATGACAGAATAAGATCTGCAAACATCAACATAAAGCCTGGTAACACTAGAGTAAATGACACGAATCAGTGCTCAGATTAGCCCTGAGTTTCCACTGCCTCCCCAACATGACCAACATTCATGCTGCCTTCTGTCCTACTGGTGGGGGAGGTGACATTCAGTCCACGGAACAGTGGACAAGTGTCCTTCTGGAGACGGGGAAGTCAACCTCAGCACCATGCTTTCATTCATTTAGATTTAGAAAAAAGAAAGAAGCAGGAATACAAAATCTCCAATAATTAGTTTCCTAGAAATTATTGTTTTAAAAACATTTAGAATCAGTACGAAAAAAAAAAACATTTGTTCAAAATGGCGTCTAACAAGCACCAGTTGTCCTTTTCTGGTTTATCTCTGCAGGAGTTCACACAGCTTCAGCCACACTGATGCATTAACAAGCACTGAGTAAATGCCCTTTTAAAAAGCTCCATCCACTCAGTTTGATATTTATGCCTTTTTTACCCACAATCACTAAAATCACAATGGAAAAGCTTACAGAACTGTCATGGGTAAAAACAAAAGTTTGTATTTATGTTTTAAAATGTATTTGTGGTACTTTTAGGAAATAATTCATTATTTTAGTCACGGGAAAATGAACTGGTGTCCGTCAAACAACAAGATAAGGATAAAACAAGTTATTTAAGAAATGTCCCCATCTAAATGTACTGGATCTATTATTAACTCACAATGTGAGAGCTGACCTGTTTAAATGAAATATTTGATCTAAAAATATACTTCAGTTTTACAAAATAATCTACAAAGCTACAGACCTGACCAGGAGCCCTGAGGCACCCCTTTTAAACCAATTTCTGTCTTTCTTAGAACGGTTTGATATTTTGTATTTTTATATTTTCAGTACAGTTTATTTACTGGGCCAATTTCAAACAAATGTTTTTTTTAATACTCAACTAAAAGCAGGTTTAAATAGCACTTTAGGATCAGGATGTGTCACGTTTAAATTGGTCCACCCAGAAACAGTTCTCAATCTTTCTCTTAGATGAGACAATTTTACAATCTCTATTGTTTTGGAATGTGTCAACACATTCAGACCCTTTAACAGTTTTCATGGCCCACCCCTAACGGAGACCAACCATTGGTGTATACTTGGACAAACTAATATGTGAGTTTGAGTATTTATGACTCGATTTACCCAACTAAAGCAGCAGAGATGAGAGAGAGAGAGAGAGAGAGAGAGAGAGAGAGAGAGAGAGAGAGAGAGAGAGAGAGAGAGAGAGAGAGAGAGAGAGAGAGAGAGAGAGAGAGAGAGAGAGAGAGAGAGAGAGAGAGAGAGAGAGAGAGAGAGACTCGCACAGGCTCCTGTGGAGGATTTCTGACATGTTTACTGCACACAGGTAGAACATATGTCAGCTTTGTGCTACCCGTTAAATCAGAAATCCAGTCTTTTCTCAGAGGGCGCCATCTAGAGGTGGACATAATGTATCACACCCTGAGCCTCTCTCACTGCTTCCGTGATTACAGGGGAATCAATGCATCTCATATGCCTCCAGCTGGCCAACAGAGCTAAAACACACACACACACACACACACACACACACACACACACACACACACACACACACACACACACACACACACACACACACTGCGATTGACAGCTGGATGTAAGCGGATGTCCAACACTGCTGGCTGGATATTTTAAATGACTCAGCTTTGTGTAATAGATGCACTGAAATCAGACATCAATGCTTAGAGGTGAAACTTCCAGAAATGTCTGACTGTGGTTTGTCGTGGGTGTGTAAGGCTTAGGACAACAGCGTCCCATCGTGTGTAAATTAAGATGCACAAGTTACCAAAAGTCAAAGTCAGGGAAGGTTCATCACTTAGCACAAACAAACAAACAAACAAACAAAAAAAAGAATCTCAGACACAGATTTGTGAGATTTCTGAACTTTGTGTTTGGGTTTAGCTGAATGTGTATCATCACACCGTCTGGATGAATGATGTTTAAGAAACAGGAATCTCTCAGCAGGCCACTATTGTTTAACTGGAGACACAAACCAGCGAGGAAATAAAGGAATCTCAGTAGGAATCAGGATGAATTTTTCTAAACAGCAAACATTTACAACATCTGTTCACACCGCTCATGCAAATGTTCTTGTCACGATTAATTTATTAAAGATTTTTAACTTATTAACATATTTGTTAAAGTTAGTTTTACAAATGCCTCGCTCATAACAGTAAATCTCATTTCAACAGTCAGAATCAGTTTGAAAACTCCATCAGTTTCCTGCTCTTACTGTGGTGACATACAGATGGTGAATAGCCCGTATTTGTATAGCGCCCATTCATTAAGATACTTATTATATTAAATTTCATTCAGTAACCAGTTAGAAATAATCCAAGCTTTATTTATAGTTTTTATGCAGTAATGAATTCACCCCCTACACATGGAACCTGTGGGCCAGAACACCTGCTGGATGCTAGAAAACTCTCACACCTTCCCACACCAAGCCCGCCTTAGCCGCATGCTTCCACTACCTTAAAAGTCGGCTCCGTGAGCTGGTTCTTCCATAGCTTTGGAACGTCCGTTTTCCCACAAAAATTCCATCCAAACCAGCTATTGTTGCCTTCTCAGTTTATTTTCACTCACAAGTGTCTTCACAAGTGCTAAACCTCAAACACAGCTTTCATCTCATTTGCACTCTCACCATCGTTGCTGCCAGACAACACCTACCAGAGGAGCTGTTTGTTTCACGTATATGTAAGCATCAGAAGGTCCACCGCCAAGGATATCTTCAGGCTCTCCTCCAAGGTGTCCCAGCGCAGGTCTCTGATGAGAGTTGTTACCCCTTAGCTGCGTGCGCCTCGACAATAACAACAGATTTTTACTTTCACCATGAGGCTGAGTATTTATGGGAGAAATCCCAGAAATCTAAATATAAAAACTAGCTACAACATGCGCCTTCATTCCCCCATGGAGTCGCTCTAGATTCACCATCCTCACAAAAATCATAGCCCTCTTTTGAGGAGAGTCATTAATCACATATGATGCTAACTTGTGGCAAGAGGTTTTCTGATAAGCACAGCTTTCTGGGCTAATTAGGCTAGTTTATTATTCCAACTGGACCTGCAGATGCTGGGAAAATTGATTAATCATGTCTACATTTTATGTCTGAGTTACTCTCGGAGGCTCTTTTGCAACTTTACGCTCAGTAAACACCTGCTCCTGTCCAGAAAACTCAGTTCCTACTCTTGCAACCACAACTGTCCAACCCACACTGTCCTAATAAATGCTGATAGGACGCAAACCAAATTAAAAACAGGTGATCCACCTTTATAATCAAATGTTTTCTCACTACTTTCAGAAGCTAGACTGAGCAGAAGTGATAGAAGAGTATGATTCACAAATGGATCCCAACAATGTCTCCAAAGAAGACAGTTTAATTATAAGATATATGTCTAATTAAAAACAGAAACCTCACTTGCAGCACGATTTTCTGAGCTTTCATGCAATAAGACCTTTATAAAGACTGCTTGTTTCACTTGACACAAGTTAAATAAGTGTTTTTCCTGTTTCATGTTGCTTCTTACCCCAGTCTTTAAGAATCACAC